CTCCATTGTTGATGGCCTATAGAAAAGAAGAGCATGAAGCCACTGAATACACTTCAGCAAAGCTGATGTTTGGTCGGGAACTTCGGTTGCCAGTGGACATTATAACAGGATGCCCACCTTACGAAGAGTTGCCTGAAAATGTGTCAGAATTTGTGAAAGTGTTATCTGAAAGGATGGATGATATTCATCATCAAGAGCATTCAAACTTGAAAACATCTGCTGATTCCATGAAGTTAACTTATGATAAGAGATCTACTGAAGTCAGCTTTGTACCAGGAGACAAGGTGTGGTTGTATAATCCTAGGAAGACCAAAGAGAAGTCTCCTAAGTTGTCTTCTCCATGGGAAGGCCCATATGGCATAGTGGATCGTCTCTCAGGTGTAACTTTTTGAATAAAATGTGGTCAACGAAGTAAGAAAAAGGTGGTGCATGCCAACAGGCTTTGGCATTATCACGGTCCAGGATATTTCAGATAGAATGAAGTGAACAACAGAATAAATGACGCTGCTGAAGACACTCTCGAAGAAGAAACTCTACCCGGTTTTGAGAAGGGAAACAGTGAAGCCCTTAATGAAGTTACTACCACTGATGTGACTGGTACCGATAATGTGACATTTCCTGATGGAGCAAATGAACCCCACGTGAAGCAGTAGCCAATGAGATGGAGACTTTGTTGTATTTTAATTTTGTGTTTGTAAATTCTATACATTTAATTAAGTTATTGTTAATTATCTATTGGTTTAATGTAAGTGGCTATTGTTCTGGATGAATAATGCTAAGGAAGGGGCAGTGTTACGACAGCAGAAGTCACGCGACACTGGTAGCATGCGCACTGGAGTTTCTCGAAGGATCATGAATTTTCCTGGCAACTCTAGTTTGTTCGAAGTACTCTTTTTTTTAGTATATAAGCCTGGCAAGAAAAACCAGTGTGATAAAAAAGATATAGATAGATCAAAGAGATAGATAATTGAGTCAAGCGAACAGTAGGCACTGTAAGTAAAGTGTGTGAATCACTATGATTTATAGCATGTGTTATAAAAGTTGTTAAGTTTAAAGTGACTGTGGAAATTCTGTGTATTACAAAGTTGTATCGAGAAAGTATAAACCAGTTTTAATTAAGAAAGGACTTGTATTGCTGAAGTTCCTCGGAAAGAATTTATACCGGAAATCAACAAACAAACAGATACGCAACAATATCTTCCTGATAAAAAGAATACAAGCTTTCTTAAAAGGTTAAAGTATTTATTTATTTTATTCTCAGTTCTATCTGGTTTCTGATGATGTAATGTAATCTAATTAATCAAAGTTTCAAGTTATTCAGCTGGTTTATATTGTATATTAAGATCAATATTCATGTTTCAACTTTAATGTGTACTCTTCCAAATCATTTTAATAAATTCACAGTGTTTAATACGTCTTATTGCTTAATACATCTAAAATTATCTTTGTTACTGTATATTTTAAAATATTAATTTTAAAGTGAGTTGAATTAATTTAATAAATTAATTGGGGTAATTATAAGGTTGTTAAGCTTAAGAAGTATTTTCACATAAACATACTGTTTATTTTTCAGGTCATAAAATTTTTTTTATGAAATCAAAACTCTACTTTTCAGTGTAATTATGAAAATGTTTTCCTCACTGAAATTCCTTAAATTTATATCAAAGTTATGGAAGAAGTATTTGTCATAAAAAACAATGTATGAAATTACGTCAATACTACTGAATACCCATACAAATCACAGAGTAACATGTAGACAACAAAATAAATGTTTTAACATTAATATTTATACATTAACACTTCGCAATATTTCTACTTTGTTATGGTCATATAAATTTTTAAATAAGCTCATATTTTCTGATTCTTAATTTCCACTTGATGTATGAGAGCCAATAAATTAACTTTTCTCTGTCATATTGTTTAAAAATATTACTGTCTTCCCATCATATGGCTGTGTAAAGTTTATTATTAAAGCACTACATTTATTTTCTCATAACTTTTTATTTCAATCATCATATTCTAAAGTTAGTCACTACAAAAAATTTCCTTATGCCAAAATTTTATTTGATATTAATTTTGGAAAGATGAAACAGTACTACCAAAATATGTAATGCATTTATATTTGTTTAAGATAATTTGGGCTTATAAAACTCATTTTCTTCAACCCATGTCCAACAATTGATAAATAACCATACAAAAACTGGTATTATATGCTTACTTGTATAAATTTATTATGAATAACTAAAACTATTTGACCTCAAAATATCAGTAAAAATCAAAAAGCTTAAAAGTTGAAAATGTATTTTGTGATTGAGATTCTGTCCAGTACATAAGTTATAAATGTTGTCCCAATTTTCTACAAATACAAAATACATTATATATAAAAATTTCAACATAAAATGTTCAATGAAAAAAATTGTGGAAGCATTCCCTCAGGATTACCAGACATACTATAACAGAAGATAGTTGATTTGAAAAAGAAATGAGTAGGTTTATTTAATCACTCACTACAGTGGTTAATTAAATTTATACACTTAGCCATGTGAAAATAACAGACAACCGATTAGAGCAAAATTACAAAAGATAAAAGTTTTTCAGAAATGATAATCTTCCTGCTGCTGTATAAAAGGACTACTTTGTACAGATTTTCTTAAATTTGAGTTTAAATAATATATGTTTTCAAACTTGTTAATCTTATTTTGAATTTGAATTAACAATCAAGTAAGTAAGTTAAATAAAACATATACTGACATAAAGATGGACAAAAGGAAACATAGGATGGCAACTATATGTCAAGAATATTAGAAACAGTGTCATTTGGTAAGTTAATGTATAAACCATTATAGAGAATTTTGATAAAAAAAAATTTATGTTCTTTTATACCCAACAACAGTTCCATTATTTAAATAAACTTTCAGCTCACATTTTTAGTAATGGGACATAATAATAAAACATACACTCAAACAAGATCATTATTTAATATCTTTAATTTCAGTTTAATAATTTAAATTAAATTAAATTATTCCACCTCTTCAAGTTCACCATTTCTTGAAAATACTAGAGGATAGCATACTTTTATATAACAACAAATTCTACAAAAATAGCATGTTTTGATAAATTTGCAGATAATAAATGAAAAGTATTCAACTTAGCACCTTGATCTATTCTGAAAGTGCAGTATGAAATTTGTCTTATACAGATATTAATTAACTTATGCTTTTATCTACCATAGTATAAACCTTATGCATGCATAAAAATAATCCAGTGTAAAAACCTTAATTTTAAGTTTTTCGTATTCCCTTTCTGATGATTAATCAGTTAAAACAAATACACAAGTTGGTTCTTCATCAGTGTAATAATTTTTTAAACAGATTAGTTATTTTTGATGTATCTACCAACTGTAAGTAATATGCTAATCAGGCAAACTCAATCTTTATTCCAAGGAAGAAAGATATATATGTGTATAATATCTTTTTTTCTTTTAACTAGTTTTATAACACTATTCTTTTGTAATTTTCAACACCTTGTTAAATATCTTGGATGTAGTATATATACACACACACACACCTTTATTAACAGTGACAGTATGTCAAACATGCAGATCTTATTTAAAAAAATACAGAAACTTCTAACTTCTAACTAAAATTAAATTAAAAGGCAGTTTTCCAACTGGAAGATTTATTCTCTTATCTTCATTTGTGTAGTAAAATATTTGAGTATGCATCACGAAAAAGGATGTTACTTGCATAGAGAAATTATATCTTTTATCAAGTATTAACACAAACCACCATTTTAAACTGAAAAACAAAACTTACAAATACAGAATAAGAAAACAAATTTGCCTAACAAACTAATTGTTATATTCAAATTTTCAAATTAACATGTCTAAATACAGGAATACCTTTTCTCAAGAATTCTGCTGAACTTCACATAATAATCTTAATTTATTTAAAATCATCAAATGAACAAGTTTTAGTCTTGTTCCATAAATTAACTTAAGATATAAACCTAGCTCAATAAAAATACACATAAATCAGAACTGCCTGTAAAAATGTCACAGAATTATCTAAACAAAAATCACTTTTGATAATGGATGCGAATGCCCATGTGCAATGCCTAAAAGTTCAGCTATACTAGAATAAAAACAAATATATACAAATTCAAAAAAAGTAAAATAATGAAAGATGACTTTCAAATTATAATCCCATGAAATTAAATCTTAGAAGCTTACAACAAAAACTTCAACTAGCTTTAAATGTAATGGTAACAGGAGAATAGTATGCAACAGTTTAATAACTAAACTCTAGCATTAGCTGCATTTAGAGCTACACTTACTTTGATAGCTTGGTCAAGAAATTAATTAAGCCAAAGAAGGAAGTCGTTACTCCTCCAATATTAATACTGCAACAAATTTTAAACCAAATAATTTACAGAAAAATACAGAGAAAAATTTGTTTGACTAAAAATATTAATTTAAGCATTTACAAAAAGTGATCCAAATTCTTCAGTGGTTGGAAAAAATTAACACCAATAATATTTTAAGCATTAACATCAAATTATCATAAATAACACTCACCATTTAGTGAGTAATAATTGAATTTAAATTATTCTAGGAAACCTAAGAAATACTGTTAGTCCTGGCAGAAGTAACAGGACATACAAGTTCATACATATCATTAAACAAATTTATAATTACCAAATGAGCTCATTTACTTGTGGTTCAATGATTAAAAAAAAAAGCATATTCATCCCTAAGCCAGTTATTTTGGCAAACCATCGAAATTATCTTTATTTTCACTTTGTTTAGAAGAACCCTCTTTGTTGTTTTCTTTCTGAAACTCCAGAGATGCTGAGTTGATACAATATCTCTTGCCTGTTGGTTTGGGTCCATCATCAAACACATGGCCAAGATGGGCACCACAGTTGCGACAAGAAACTTCTGTCCTCGCAAGACCTGGTTTGATAGCAAGTAGAAGTAGGTTTCCACCCACTAATGTATTGATAATAGTTGACAGACAGAAGCATGGAAGATAGCAGTGGGAGAATAAGAAAACATATCAGTGATAAACCAAACTTCCTCAACCATTACTCTTCAACTAATAACACAGAGTGCTTGGGGAACACTGAGAAAAATTACTTGGAATGCTTATGATGACCAGAAGACATTTACACGAAAAGAGATAAATTAGTGTATTTCACTGTTGTAACATGGAAATAATCATGTAGATAAGCTGTCTGAACAAATTTAAATACTATCAATAATCCACATAATGTCACCTATGTTAAGATCAAATTACAGAAAATTACTTAAGCCAATACATGCAGTTATTAAATACAGCACAATGTTTAAATCAAGTTAACCACTTATTATTTATTGTAGTGAAGTGAACTACAAAATATAAGTCATACAAGATTTATACTAAACTAAGACAGTCAAAACTGCTTTTGCTACTTCTTTTCAAACTGATTTCTGCAGATATAGCTCTGTTAAATGCTCACCAAATCACACTAATTTGTATAGAGAAACTAAATACCTGACATGACCTCACTCATCTTCAAGATTAACATTATCACTTTCAACCAGACTTCATCTAGCTCACACAATATGCACAACATTGTTGTGTGTAGATGTATAAATCCACAACAAATTATTGTATTTTTGAAAAGGTCCAGATTTTCTAATTAGAAAAACAAATATTATTTACTTGAGCACTTCCTAAAAATATGTGAAAGTTTTTTTCCTGTCTGACCAGTATTTCATAATTAAATCTAAACATATACTATAATAAAGTTTTCCATTTTTACATATTTACTATTTTTGTAACAAATATTCTGTGAAGCTCCACTACAGAATCTACATGCATCCCTGAGCAACATTTGCTTAATATGACACTAGGCAATATTCATAAAATCTCTCATCGTCAATTATCAGTAGAACAATGGAATTTATTGTAACCATAGAGAAAATAGAGCTTTAGAAATAGCAAGGTTTAAGTATAAAATCTCAATCTAAGTAATAGTTTAAGTCAAATTTGTTTTCTAGGGGGGGATTGACTTCCAGTGCTGCACTTGTCAGACCTCACTCACACAATAAAGTTAAAAAAGAAAAAATTAAGACAAACTTGTTTTAACTAGCCATGAAAATACTGTCTAAATGTACTAAATAATAGTTATCTGGAATGACTTTGTTTTGTTTGCTTGAAAAGGCTAGTAAACAGTTCATAAAAATTCAGAAACATTTTTGTAAAGAAATAGATATTACGCACTGCATGTCAAAACACTTGAATATGGTAGTTTTAATAAGGAACAGTTCCCACACCATAACCATCGGAAGTATTAAATATGTATAATATAAATATTACACTAAAATCAGTCAACAATGATTAAACATAACAGTTTACTAACAAATCTTATACAACAACCAGCCAAAGATAAATAATATAATCATTCAGGTTTACATAACACTACTCATACAACCTGCTACAGATAATTAAACTCAACAGCCAAGTTAAAATATCCTACACTATAAATCAAAGATTATTATACATATCAGTTTTCTTTACTTAACAAACCTACACTACAGTCAGAAAGCACTTTATCTTATTTGACACAGTTTCAACATAATCAGCCAACAATTTAATCATAGTAGATATCATTACAAAACGTTTTTCCCAGCAAAAGTGGCTGAAATCTCAAAACATTTGGGCTTACTCTAAAAAAAATTTACATAACAATCAGCCATAAACTAATGTTTTAAACGAGCCTGTTTTAATGAGTTAAGATATTTCTTTCTTAATTTAGAAAACAAGATAATTTATCCTAAGAATATTCCACTATAAATTTCAAAAGAACTGTATCAAAAATTAACATTTGTACTGTTATTTAACTGATATACAGAAACTAAAATAACATCTTGTTAGTTTTACTACACAAGAATATGGCTAATTTCAACCGTTATGTAATTTTTTTTAGAAATTTAAGAACATTTTGTGATCAAATTTAAGACAAAGATAGTATAAAACTTCACATTCCTCACTTAAATTTTAATAAATATATTAACACTTCTCCCCATTTTCTAGCAAGAATCAGACCAGAGTATTTAACACTAACATTTTCTATATGTTTGAGTAAAGTTTGTCTATAGCCCTTAATAAATCAAAGAAACTTTTATTTGAAAATTTAGTTAACTGTAAAGCACTATATAACAGCCATGAATCAGTTTTCAAGAAATAAAAGTAATGAAAATATACACTAAACAGGAAAAAAAAAAAACATAATTAATAAGTTCTTATAAATTATTCTCCTGTGCATTAAAGCATTCTTACCAGGCTCTACAATGCAAAACAAGTATGTTAAGTGGTTGAAGTTGGTTGAAGAAGCTTGTGCTCTTTTCTCAAAATCTATCCCTCTACATCTGTCCATGCAGAAAATATCATGCATAAATGTTAAAAAGCTTTGAAAATACATGCAAGAAACATATCAAACTCTAATGGTGAGAGGAACTATTTTAAAACAAAGAATGCAAAATTTAATTTACATGTGAAACCCTCCAGGATTTCTTTTCAAAGAGATGATTACTCTAAATCTGGCATACATGTCTCTTTATGTCACTTTAATACTTTATTTCACAAAGGTAAAAATTTATCTACAAGTATTTTTGTTTCAAACCGATTTTTTTATTTTATTTATGTACACCTTCGTGTTGGTGAAGTTCTTTAAAACAATTCCACAAAATCTTTGAAAACTACTTATTATACAGTTATGCATCCATCAGTAGCTCTTACATAAGCTTTGCTTTCCCAATATCATCTAGATTTGTTTGAAAGTTGTAGTGCGATGAAAAGTTTGTGGTTGGTGGGCTGGAGTGAAGGTGAAGAATCTGATGAATCCATGGCATACAAAGCAAAAGATCCCAAAATAAATAAAATTCTAATATGACCAACAAAAGTTTGTATGGCAGAATCATTTAGAACAGAGACAAAGAGTGAGTCATAGAGACTCACCTCTTTTACCTTGATGTTAGGTTACCCAAAAATTTGTTTACATGTTTGAACCCAAAGCTACATAATATACCACACAGAATTAAGCACTGTAAGTCTGTAAACTGCCAGCTGACCAAATGGAGAAAGCCACACTAGAAATATCAGTACACACAATTTTTGGATGGTAAGACAACCAAAAGCAAAATTAGATACTAAAGCTCTAATCAACCCCTGCTGGTAAACTTATCTTGAAACAGGAAACAAGTTAAGGCAGTGATTTCCAAACTGTAGGGCATGCCTCTTGGGGTGGGGGAATTGAAGCAGTGGCTGTGGGGGCACAGCCTTTTACAAGGAGACAACCAAAAGCAAAATTAGATACTAAAGCTCTAATCAACCCCTGCTGGTAAACTTATCTTGAAACAGGAAACAAGTTAAGGCAATGGTTTCCAAACTGTAGGGCATGCCTCTTGGGGTGGGATGGGGGAATTGAAGCAGTGGCTGTGGGGGCACAGCCTTTTGCAAGGAGAACCCAAAAATAAAAATGAAAGCAGAAAAAACAAAAAAATAAATTCTGAACTGTTTTCCTGCTAATACTTCAGAAAAAACTGATTAAAGAGAGAGAGAAAGAAACTACTGTATTTACAGTTATTATCACTTGTGAAAATTATTTAGTATGAAGGAGGAGGGCCCCGAGAAAAATAATGCTGAGTTGGGGGGTGCCACAACATAAAGTTTGGAAACCACTGAGTTAAGGTAAAAGACCAGCAAACACAAAAATAAAGCTTTTTATACACACACACATACAAAAGGTTATCTGATTACAAGGTGAGCACCTTGCAATACTGCCCAACAGCCGAAAGTGTCAAAGGAACATAAAAGCCATGTGGGAATATAAACAATAGCAATGAGACCTGTATATAAAAAGGATGTCAAAGGAGAAATTTTCTTCCTGAGTAATTCATAGCAGAAAACAGACAATGGATCCCAGTAATGTGAGGAGAAAGGAAATACAAAGTATGAACACAGAAGGTAATGAGGCCAAATCAAAAATGATCTTCATTATGAATGGTATGCAAAGTAAGCATTCACACAAATGTTATACACATTACATAATGTCAGGAATACTGACAGTGAACTGAAGATTTCAATTTGCATGCTATAGGTAAATGGCATGAGTACGACCTCCAATATAGGCCCAAGAAGTTATAGCAAAGTGAACAATACAACTGTCAACAAAAAAAGAATGGTACGAAAGCAGAGCTCATGTAAGATCTACTGACCCATGTGCAGTAAGTTACACGGAGGGTTGGAAAGTGGAGTGTTTTGGGTAAGTGATATATATGGCATACAATAAAGGAAATTTGGAAGTCTTAAGCCATAGATGTTGTTGACAGCATGACATCAGACTCAACAAAGAAAGGCTTTCAATATTTCAGAGGAGCATCTGCCTAATTTGAATTTAAATTTTACTCTGAATATGATGACACACACACACAAATTTATATTGCAACTTTTGTCAAATATCTATATAAAATGTATCCAACTCAATAATACAATTTTCCATATTCTAATTTATTTACAAAATAATGCATTTTTGATTTTTAACAATGTCATTTTCAATCACAAGTATTTTTGTAAAACTTACAAGGTAATCACAATTAAAAAAAGAACTTGTCTCAAACCTAACACTGGTTGAAATCATATTTTTAGAAGTAAAATATCCATAAACCATATTTGATATTTCATGGTTTATGGTTATAAAAAATATTTTTATTCACAAATCCAAAGACATTAAAACCAATATAATATCAAAACCACAACCAGTAAATTTTAAACTTTTAAATTTTGTTGTCCTATAAAGCAAGCAATTTTAATCCCTATAAGCAAAAGGGATATTTAACTGAAAATTGAGAGAACCGAAACAGGTAACTGACAATTCATACAATGTAAATCCATCACATGCTAAGAATGCAATCACATGTGCCATTACCTCCCTTGGTACCAACAACACATATCTTATGAATTGGTTTATAATCTTTTATAACTAATCTGAATTACATTTCTACCAAAAAAAAACAACAATTACTCAAAAAGACATTGCTAATCAGTTGCATCTTCGATTGCAGACAGAAAAAAAACAAAAAAACTGAGCATCATGATTATCAATAATAATTTGTTGTTCTACTAAGATCTAACAGTGAGTAATATAAAGTAATCCTTACTTTTCCCCTTTTCAAAACTTGTGTCATTTCTAAAGTTTGTTATCTTTCTCCCTCTCACTTGAAATACTTTTATAATTTGGTAAAATATTTAGGATATTTAACATCTACTGTCCGATAACAACTGTTGATGGTACAGTTGTTACAATGTCATATCCCACCCACATTCGTGAGCCCTGGTATTGGATGAAAGGCCTTTTCGAATATGGCAAATATTGTGTGGTCAACATATTATAACATATTCTTCATTACTTTCACTAAAACATTCTTAGAATTTTAAGATGTTGCATATTTTATAAAATTTTAAGTTAAAATTATTTTTTTGAGAGTAAGTATTGTAATCCTACTAATTTTTTTGGTCTAAACTTGTGATACAAAAGAAATTTTAAATTTCAACTGGAAAATGTCGATCACTGCCTGCAAGAATATATGAAAATTAAAAAAACATATAAAAAGAGAGTTTTTAAAGTAACAAGCTGCACGTAATGCAAAAAATTAAGTATGCTTTTGAATAAAACATACACCTAATGGATGAAAAATCAAAGATATATAACATTACTTACCAAGATATATATAAAATATAATTAAAAACACCTTAGTTGTAAGAAAAAGATGGATTGATAAGGATTGAGTGTGCAACTTAAAGAAATGAAACCAAATAAATTGGT